TTGGTGATGGTGATATTAAGGTGCGTGACCACTGCCATCTAACGGGGAAAAAAAGAAATGGAGCTGCACATAGTATTTGTAACCTCAATTTCAAATTGCCCAACTTTATACCCATAATTTTTCATAATCTCAGTGGGTATGACTGTCATTTGTTCATAAAAGAGTTATGCACAAACAAAACAAAAGTTGATGTCATTGCTCAAACTAAAGAAAAGTATGTTTCCTTCACGAAGAATCATTCAGTCCAGAGCGGTTAGGAGTATTGATTTTGCTAATGTTTTGCTCACGAAGAGTATTCAACAAGAACCCCAAGAATTCGGAACAATCCTCTTGTTGTCCTAACGAGTATCTAGTGGACTTCAAATTAAAAATGAGAAGTACATGAATGTCACAAAAAATAAATAAATAAATTAAACTAATAAGTATAGATACAGAGGCACTCAAACGCATATATTAAAATTTATTTTCTTTGATATGCTGCAATAACGCTTGTTTGGAAGTGTGAATACTTCTGTTGTTTCTCAAATATGTCTGATCCAACCAATCACTCACAGGCTTCTTTTGGTTGCAAAATTACAAGTTATTATTTTCCCTGGTTTACAATTAATACTCCACAATCGGTTATTCAAATTCAAAAAAGTAAAAGCCTGTATACAATTTTAGACAATTTAAGAAATATGAGACATACTTTGTAGCTTTGAAATAAGTTTCTTAATTATCATTTATAGATGTCGCTGTGCAACGCAAGGTTGACGGAATTGTCAAATCCTGGCGCTAGTGGTTCTATATTTTATGTTACCAGTGATGATGAGTTCATCATCAAGACTGTACAGCACAAGGAGGGAGAGTTTCTACAAAAGTTATTAGCAGGTTTGTCTGTTAAACCAAAAGCTTATGAAGGTCTCGCTATGTTCCATCCGCAATGTGATATCTAATCGGATGTCTAAATTTGCTAATACTTTTAATTTTTAGGTTATTACATGAACCTGAATCAAAACCCTAGGACATTATTACCAAAGTTTTTCGGACTCTATTGTTATCAGTGTAATAGTAAAAATGTAAGACTGGTTGTTATGAATAATTTATTACCTAGTAACATTACTATGCATCAGAAATATGACCTGAAAGGAAGCACTTACAAGCGAAAGGTAAATATCATTGCCACAATCATTATACGACTTCTGTCGAGACTAAAAATATTATTAGTGCGATAACTTTTGAAAGGAAATTTGATGAGCGGTAATTTTGGTTTTTAGGCCTCAAAGGCGGAACGGCAGAAACGTTCGCCGACTTACAAAGATTTAGATTTTATGGAACACCATCCAGAAGGCATTTTTATGGAAGCAGATACTTATAACGCGCTAGTCAAGACGATTCAGAGGGATTGTAGAGTATTAGAGAGTTTTAAAATAATGGATTACAGCTTGCTTTTAGCTATTCACAATTTGGATCAAGCACAAAAAGAAAAATCGGTAATTATTTCAGTTTGTTAGCATAATTTTCATATTATCCAGTAATTTTCTGGGATACTTGAAAAACAATAGATGTCTCTAGTGGTACTTGCCCTTGTATAATATAGTAAAAATATTCACTTGTTTACCATAAAATGTGTATACAGGGTGTAACTGAATAAGTGTAAAACATTTAAGGAGGTGATTCCTCATCGAAAAAAAGGTAGGATTTTTCATATAAAAAACTTCATGGGAGCATCCCTTGTTAAGATACAGCCCCTTGAAGGGGGTACATAAAATTTGTATAACAATTTTTTTCACAAGCACTGAAAAAGTTACAATATTGAAATAGAACTGACCTTTTGTACTACCAAAAAGACACTTAGCCAGTAATTTATTTGGTTGTAAGGGGTGAAAAACGCAACCCCTAAAATTTATTTCCAATGTAACTTTTTGTCTTATTATTTGTTTACCATTTA